TGCTATCTCGTTATTGCCATCATTGCTGAAACTGTGGTGTGAGAAGGAAGCAATTCTGCAATTCATATTGTAATCTTGATTTATTTAATTTTTTAAAATCATGTCTGAGCCAAAGTACTACAACACATGTTTGGGGTTTTGAACCAACCAAGTTCGCCCGCACCACAATCCCAGCAGAATGCAAATTGAGCAGCACGTCGTAAAGTGTATCTACCCGGAAGACAATAATTGTATAATAATACATCGACAGTGTACAGTGAATAAATCATCCTTCCGCGAGCCGTCTGTCCTTGGCATTGTGGAAATAAAGTTCAGTAGGTCATTTCCTTACCCTCCCAGCCCTTGACTCATTAGAATGTCGTATTTTTTTACCATTAGGAACGTTGTACATACATAATTTCATCACACTGTCTCATTGGTCTGTCTCTGTCTCTGTCTCTCTTTCTGTCTCTCTGTCTCTCTCTCTCTATCTCTCTCTCTAGATCTGTCCTTGGCATTGTGGAAATAAAGTTCAGCAGGTCACTTCCTTACCCTCCCTGCCCTCGACTCATTAGAATGTCGTATTCTTTTTACCAATAGGAGCGTTGTGCATTTTCTCTCTCTCTCTCTCTCTCTCTCTCTCTCTCTCTCTCTCTCTCTCTCTCTCTCTCTCTCTCTCTCTCTCTCTCTCTGTGCCCCTCCCTCTCTCCTCTTCTTCTATTCCCACCGCAAGGCTTCCCCTCGCTACACACGCCGTCCCGAATCGATCACCTGAAATGACCTCCTTTCTCGCAACAGTTTCATCATTATAATATTACAAGTACATGTATAGCGTGTGATGTTAGAATGGGAGTCAGAACGGGCTGTTTTATGTATCATGATCAACTGAGCCTCTACAAATCTGTTCTTTTTACTTCGCCAGGCTCCTGAGTGACGCTTTGAGAGACCCCTACTTACATTAAAATTGGATTTTACAAGAACACCCGGAACTAGATCGAGAGAACTAGCCTTCTACCGACCTAACATATTGTGGTGTTTCTGGTGCTGGCTGGTGCAGTGAGGAGGACGAAGGGCGAACGCAAGGTCTGTGTTGGAGTTGCAACATCATTCACTTTTGGATATATTATCCTCGCCTCATCGTGTCGCCAGGCACTGATTCCATCCTGCGGACTTAATAATATTATTGCTCACGGTGAGTCGTCCGTCAGTCGATGTGAGTGTTCGTGACTGTGTTTATATTGATTTTATGCTGATGGTTGAGGTTGGAATCCAGAAATATGTAATTTTTGCTTGTGTACCTTCTATTTGTGCCTCTCTGTGTTGTTCTTTATCAATGTTGCTGCATTCCGTAGTCTGTCGTAGTTTTTAAGTTCTGACTCATGGTAGACTACATTGACATTTCGATTTTTCTAAAAAGTACGTCGCATTCCTGTTGCATGAGTGTTACGTGTTATGGTTTATTTGATATCTTAGTCTGTCTGTCAGTCTGTTTGTCTGTCTGTCTGTCCGTTTGACTGTCTGTCTATCTGTCGGTGTGTCTGTGTGTCTGTCTGTATGTGTGTGTGTGTGTGTGTGTGTGTGTGTGTGTGTGTGTGTGTGTGTGTGT